ACGAGAAGGCAGGAGAGGACAGGAAAGCTGGATGAATGGAAATGGGGAACCCAAGATCGAAAAGAGGAAGAGTGTTGACACGTTACAGGGTTGGCAACCAGTGTCACAAAACAGTGTATTAATTGTTTAATGAGAAACTGATTTGCTCTGTAAACCTTCATCTAAAGCACATACACAAAAATCTTATTATAAGAGTACAACTCAATGAATTTCCTCATTATAAACAAACTTGTGCAACCAGCGATAAATAATGTTACCTACACTTTAAGACTCCTTAAGGCTTTCCACCTGCCCCCAGCCAAGTGACTGGGAAGTCCCTCTCTCCCTCCCAAGAGTAATCACCGTCCTAACTTCTGTCACCATAGATTGTTTTCCCCTGCATTTTAATTTGATATACTTATGGTGAATATGGAGTACATGGGTGGTGCAAACTGTTAACATGCTCAACTGCTAACCGAAAGGTTGGAGGTTCGAGTCTACCTAGAGGTACCTGGGAAGAAAGATCTGGCAGTTTACTTCCCAAAAAGCAGCTGTTGAAAACCCTAGAGAGCACAGCACAGTCCTGCTCTGACACATACGAGGTCACCATGAGTAATTGACAGCAACTGGTTTGGTTTTATTATGATTATGGCTTGTTTCACTCAGCATTTGTCTGTGAGACTCATGGATGTTGTTTTATGTTATGAGAGTTTGCTCATTCTTTTGCTGTTTCTCTGCAGCCCTTCTCAGCTGGGGGTTCTGCCAGAGAATTAAGTTCTGATGTCCTAAGGTATCCATTGTATGTAGCTGAATTAAGTTCTCTTGTATGCATCTAAGATGTAGTAGCTATGTCATCCTTGGAAAACTGAAAAAATAGTCATTCAGATAATTTCTGTAGGGCTGACTCTCACAGAATCCTGAGAAAGGCTGTAAGCCTTAGCCTTTCTGGTTTTTACCATCTAGCAGCTCTTCAATGCCTTCCAATGGAAGAATTCTGTTATCTGATTTTTCTAGTTCTCTGTGGGAATGCTGGTTTGCTGCAAGCTACTCCATCCTACTGGGGAGTGGAAGTCTATCACACATGCTTAAATGCATAGCTGAGCATCTAAGAAAATAAGGGAAACACCCAAGAGCCAAAAAAAGGGAAGAAGGAACTGAAACCCCAGTGGTAAAAGAACTAGGGAGCCAGGGCTGCTTGGAGGCTTTGCAGAAACCAGTATCCTAGAGCCTTGAATTTTTAACAGCTGCTGAGGGGGAACAGGAATCAAAACCTTAGACCCAAGCAGGAAGGGGAGTTGGAACTGAGTCCCCATTTTCTTCAGCAACTCTAGGACTCTCAAAGAGCTGTATTCCTTGAATCAAAGAGTAGGCTAGGAAATAAACTCTCCTAATGGCAATAAAACATGTGTTTTAGCTTTATGTGTTGTATATTTGTGAGTGGGGTACCATTTATGATGTTTCTGCTGAAGATCTAATCTACAGGCCTTTCTTTTCACAAGCCTTTGGTGTTTGCATTTAGACTACCTTTGATGTCCAGGAGATCCCAAATTTAGAAATAAAAAATTACCACACACACAAAGATAGACGCTATTGTGAAAGTCAGCAGAAACAATGAAGAGCAGTATTAGACCCCCAGAGCATCTCAGTATATTGTAAAAAAGCTATATTTAAAATGAAAAAAAAACAAAGAATAGAATTAAGAGATAATGAGCAATATGAATATAGATGCAAAAATCATCAATGAAGTACTAGCAAACTGAATCCAAAAGCATATTAAAAAGATTATATACCATGATCAAGTGGGGTTTATCCCAGGAATGCAAGGGTGGTTCAACATTAGAAAATCAATCAATGTAATACAACACATTAATGGAACTAAAGAAAAGAACCACATTATCATCTCAGTCGAGGCAGAAAAGGTATTTGACAAAATCTAACACCCTTTCATGATTAAAACACTCAACAAGCTAGGAATAAAAGGGAAATTCCTCGATATGATGAGGGGCATTTATGAAAAACCTGCAAGTAACACCATACTCAATGAAGAAAGACTTGAGAGCTTTCCCCTTAAAATTAGGAACAAGACAAGGATGCTCACTCTCACCACTGCTGTTCAGTATTGTCCTGGAAGTCCTAGCCAGAGCAATTAGGCAAGAAAAAGAGGGGTGGGGGGAAGTATCTAAATTGGGAAGGAAGAAGTAAAACTGTCTTTTTTCTCAGTGGCATAATCCTATGTATAGAAAACCTCAAAGAATCCACAAGAAAGCTAATAGAGCTTATAAATGAATTCAGTGGAGTGGCAGGATCCAGGGTCATACACAAAAATCAGTTGGGCTTCTATTCATCAGCAGTGAGCATTCTGAGAAGGAAATTAAGGAAATAATTCCATTTTCACTAACATCTAAAACAATAAAATGCCTCAGAATAAATTTAACCAGAAAAGTGAAAGACTTGTACACTGAAAACTATAAAACATTGCTGAAAGAAATTAAAGAAGACCTAAATAAATGGCAGGATATTCCATGTTCATAGATGGGAGGACTTAATGTTGTTAATATGTTGACACTACCCAAAGCAATTTATGGATTCAACACAGTCCCCACCAAAATTTCCACAGCCACCTTTTGCAGAAATGGAAAAGCCAATCCTCAAATTTATATGGACTGCAAAAGACACTGAATAGCAAAAGCAATCCTGAGAAAGCAGAACAAAGTAGGAGAATTTTCACACTTCTCAATTTCAAAACATACTATAAAGCTACAGTAATGAAAACAGTGTGGAACTGGTATGACGATAGCCATATAGACCAATGGAATAGAATTGAGGGTCAAGAAATTAACCCATACATTATGGTCAGTTTATTTTCCACAAGCAGAAAAATGAAGCTAGGCACATACCTCACACCATATATGAAAATTAACTCAAATTGGATCAGCGACGTAAATTTAAAAATTAAAACCATAAAACTCTTAGAAGAAAACATAGGATAATGCTTCATGGTCTAGTTTTTGAGAATGGATCCTTAGATATGACACCAGAAGCATAAGCAACAAAAGACAATAAATGGGACCTCACAAAAATTAAAAATTTTTGCACATCAAGGGGCTTTATCAACAAAGTGATTAGGCATCCTGCAGATTGGGAGAAAATTTTTGTGAAGAATACTGGATTAAGTTTTAATATCCAGAATATATAAAGAACTCCTACAAATTAAGAACAGAAAGACAACCCAATCAAAAAAATTGGCAAAGGACTTGAATAGGCATTTCACCAAAGAAGATATACAAATGACTGACAAGCAGAGAGATGCTCAATATCATTACTTATTAGGGAAATGCAAATCAAAACCACAGTGAGATACCACTTCACCCCTACTAGGATGGCTGTGATTTTAAAAAAAGAAAACAGGTGTTGGCAAGGATATGAAGAAATTTGATCCCTTATCCATTGTTGGTGGGATTGTAAAATGGTGCATCCGCTGTGGAAAACAGTTTGGCTGTTCCTCAAAAAATTAAACACAGAATTACCATGTTGTTGTTGTTAATTGTCGCTGAGTTGATTTCAACTCATGGTGACCCCATGTGTGCAGAGTAAAACTGCTCCATCCCATATGACCCAGCAATTCCATTCCTAGGTATATACCCAAAAGAATTTGGAAGCAGGAACACAGTTACTTGTGCACCAGTGTTCTTTGCAGCACTGTTCACAGTAGTCAAAAGGTAGAAACAACCTGTGTCCACTAAAGTGTTGAAATGGCATATATTTTGTTATATATATTTTTTATCACAAAACACACACACATATACAAAAATAATGAGCAAGAAACAAACGGTAGCAAAAATGACTGTAGATTTGAGGAAAAACCAAATGCAAGTTTTAGAAAAGTATTTAGCATAGTGCTTCACAGTTGTTAGCTGCTGCCTATTTAATAACTGTTAGCTTATTGCAAACTTAATGAAATACTCTAATTAGGCAAATCTCAACATAAAACAGTGATTTTACATAATATGTCTTTGTAGAATTCCAGTTTTAGAAGTATTTGCTAATATTACTGTTCCATTGGCCTTGAAATTTATTGACCTTAGTTGAGATTGGAATTACAATTTTGAAATTTTAGGTAGGTGGAATGGGTGTTGGCCTGTGTGATACAGTTTCAGCAATCCTCAGAATTGTCCTACGTCCAAAAGATCTTGTCTCCACCTGCCTAGTTCGTGGGATTCGTTCTGTATAAACCTTTGTTCCCTGAAAATCCATCATATATTACATAATTTTTAGGTATAAATGAACCTTTTTAAAATTTTTTTTCTAATTTGTTGTTGTTGAGACTATACACAGCAAAACATACACCAATTCATCCGTTTCTACATGTACAATTCAGCGACATTGATTACATTCTTTGAGTTGTGTGACCATTCTTAGTCTCCTTTTCTGAGTTGTTCCTCCCCTATTAACATAAACTCACTGCCCCCTAAAGTTCCTAAATAAACCTTTTTTAAAAAAATTGATTTATAGATTAGAAAATCAGTGTACAGGTATTGCTCTTCGTCCTCAAATAGGAGGAGCCAGGTTCACAAAAACTGATAAGAAGGTTTATAGAAATAAGTGTATTCTTGGAGTAGCTTTGGCCACTCCTCTCTCCCTTCCCAGACATGTTTTGAGTGCTTACTGGATGCCAGGTGTTGTAATGAGCAAGAAGGATGCGAGGATGACTAAAATATGGTCCCTTCTTCCCTGAAACTCACATTCACATTGCCTTCAGGACGTGTACAAGTGCATTGGAATGGATTGAATCCATTGTGTCCTTCCTTTTGCAAAGCTGTTAATATCTTATGGATTTTTTTTTTTAGTCTTTTTCAGCTTTTGGAGAAAGATAAGGTACCACAGGTATGTATATTATTTAGCGTATGGAAACATTGACTGGCTAGTGGGAAACTAGATACCGTAGTTTTTCAAGCAAATGAATACATTAATCAAAGTTAGCTTCTGCATATTACTAATTCCACCACTGCAAATCTTTTTAGGATGATGTGCGGCATAAGGTTCATCTGAACACTTTTGGATTCTTCAAGCATGGGTACATGGTGGTTAATGTCACTAGCCTCTCAGTAAATAAGCCTGAAGGAGCCACAGACAAGGATCCAACTGTAAGTATCTTTTAATGAGACTGAGGGGGTTTCCCTTTTCTGTTGATTGAATGAAAGCTTTACTCCCTATACTTTAAAGTATCAGAATATGGAGAAAATTAAACTTGTGAGTACCAGATTATATATCAGGCATCAAATAGTTTTATTTTAACACTGAAGTTGTAATTGTTGAATAATTCCAGTAGTTAGTGATTTTACTTGAGCAGGAATCACCTTCTTAACAAAATGAATGCTAAGAAAACTGAGAGAAAGCCAGGCCAAAAAAATCACCTTTTCTGCTCTTTGAGCAAGAAAAGTATGGACACCAGGGCATTGTGTGACTACTTACTCTACTCTTCTTACACTCTCTTAGATTGGATTCAGCCTAGACCGTACAAAGAATGATGGATTTTCTTCTTATTTGGTAAGTATTAAGTGCCTGACCTGATCACTCTTCAGTTTAGCCCAAGAGACTGAGTGGGAACAACTTGCTTCTTTCAGTGCCGTTTTCTTGAGGTGGTGACTGCTTTGGCTGTCAAGCATTTCTAAGCACCCACAGTTTTGTTTACTGTTTGGAATGGAGATTGCACTGCTTACTTGCCTTGTTATTGAACACTTTTTCTTCTTGTTCTAATGTTAATGAATAAGATGTTGTACAATTGGTTCTTCCCTTCTCAGGATGAAGATGTCAATTACTGTATTTTAAGGAAACAATCTGTTTCTGTCACTCTTCTAATCTTAAATATCTCCAGAAGAGAGTAAGTAATTCTAACATTCTTTCATTTCAATTCTAAAGTTAGGGGGAATTTAGTAGTTTAGCTAGCATTTATTGTCTGCCGTGTGCCATGTACTGGGCTGGGTGCTAGAGATTAAAAACAAGATGAGGAAGACAGAGATTATAAATTCACCTTGAGGAGACTATAAATTGTCAGGGGAGACAGAACACCAATACAAATGATCATGGCAAAGTAGGGAAGTAGTAGGGAAGAAGCACCAATTCACTGTGGAAGGGAAGGCTTCAGATAAGTGTTATCCTAAGCAGCCTTCTAATGAACAGGCATTGTCAAATGAATAAGAAAGGGAGTGGATTTTATTAACAGGGAACAGTATATACAAAGGTAGAGTGGCATGAAATAGCATAGTGTGTTCAATAAACTGAGTTAATTATTGATAGAATAAAGTTGAAAGGAATCATGGTAAGAAACAAGACTGGGTCCAAATAATGGGACAGTCTTATACCGGTGTAAGGACCATGGGCTTTTTTGGTAGTTTGGGAACTTGATGGCCTTGGCCTGAGTCTGGCCCTCAGCTCTAGCATGGTGATTAAGAGTGTAGACTTAGGCTGCAGGCCAAGTTTGAAGATTGCCTCTGCCACTCAACCAGCTGTATGACTGGGCCTCAAGGTCCTTACCTTCATAATAATAATACTTGCCTCATAAGATTGTTGGAGGATTTCTGACAATTCAGTCTTTTTAAAACATTTGAACTTAAATGACTGATAATAGAGTTTTGTGTTTTCAAGTTCAGCACATTTCCATGTGGTCACTTCACAGGTCCACCGGCTGTGTTTTTTTTACGGGGAGTTTTCGAAGGATCAATCTAAAGCTAGGGATGGCACATGCTCAGACTTGTTCTTAAGATAGACCACTGACAGCCTAGGTAGGACAGGATGGATTTCAGATGAATAGGATTGGAGGTGGAAAGACTAATTAGGAAGCTTCTAAATATTTAAAAAAAAAAAAAAAAAACTTGCCACAAAACCTCTGTAGGCGATAACTCTAAATATTCTTCATGATAACCTCTGTTTACATTCAAGAAAATTACTCTGCAAGTGTTTTGTGTCAGTTAGGATGCTTTTGACAGCAAGTAACAGAAGACTTGACTGAGACTGGCTTAAATAGTGAAAACATTGATTGTCTTACCTACTGAAAGTCTAGAGTTGGGGCTGATGGGCTTCAGGTGAGAGACAGATGAGCAGCAGTTTGATGATATTAGGGACTCAGGTGCTTTTCATCTCTCTGCTGCCATCCTCAGGCTGGTTTCCCTAGCCATCACCAGATGGCTTTACTTCATTGTTCACGTCCAACCAACCAAGGGAGAGGAGAGCCTCTTGCCTAGCTCCAGTCAGGGTCTAGAAGTGCATCCCTTCAACTTGAATGTGCCAGCTTATGTCATGTGTCCACTCAGGGATTGAAACTGTCACCAGCCCAGATACATATATAAGCGAAATTGAAGTCTGTTAAGAAAGGGGATATTAGGCAGGGAACTAATAGTGCCCTGTGCCCCTCTCATGCTCCCACAGACTTCACTTCAACATCTTATTGGGTTTTTTACCTTTTGTTCTTTTTCCCTTGTGTAATAATTTGTTGACTATATTAAGTATATGTAGGGGAGAAATATGTACAGCAGAATAGTGTGGTTGCCAAGAGCTTCAGTGTTAAAGGGTGAGACTCCCTGGGTTCTAGCCCTGCTACTTCCTAGCTTGGTGCCCTTAGGCAAGTCATTTAACCCTTCTGAGCTTCAGTTGCATTATCTATAAAATATAGGTAATAGAATCTATGTTGTAATATTGTAAGGACTACATGAAATGATGTATTTAGAGCTTGACACAATGCCTAGCACACATCACTTAATAAATGACCATAAGCACTGCTCTAAAGTTTTTTTCTTTTCTTTTATTTCATTGTAGAGTAAGAGTAAAGTCTCCACCAGAAGCTGGTACCCAGTTACCAAAGATTGTCTTCAGCAAGGATGAGAAAGTCCTTGATCAGAGCCAGGAGCCTAGTGGTAACCCTGTTTCAGCAGGCAACCAGACTCAGAAAAATGAAGGTAAACTGTAAGGTTGAAACTATCATTTTTTCACTTCCCTGCTTTGTAGATCCTTTTTTGTTACTAAGTAAAAACATACTTAATCCGCTATGGTCTTAGCATTACTTTATTTTGGAGGTTATACAAAAAAATATATTACCACTGTTACGGATTGTATTGTGTCCCCCAAAATATGTGTCTACTTGGCTAGGTCATGGTTCCCAGTGTTGTGTGGTTGTCCTCCATTTTGTGATCTGATATAGTTTTCCTATGTGATATAAATCCTAATTTCTGCCTGTGGTTAATGAGGCAAGATTAGGTTATATTAAAGAGGATTAGGGTGGGAATCAACAACCTTACTCAAGTAACATTCCTGATACATGTAAAGGGCATTTCCCTGGGGTGTGGCCTGCATCACCTTTTATCTTACAAGAGATAAAAGGAGAGAGAAGCAAGCAGAAAGATAGGGACCTCATGCCACCAAGAATGAAGAACCAGAAGGGGAGCGTGTCCTTTGGACTTAGGGTCCCTGCACTGAGAAGCTCCTAGATAATAGATGACAAGGACCTTCCTCCAGAGCTGACAGAGAAAGCCATCACCAGGAGCTGGCACCCTGAATTTGGACTTCTAGCCTCCTAGACTATGGGGGAATAAATTTCTCTTTGTTAAAGCCATCGACTTGTGGTATTTCAGTTTCTAGCAGCACTAGATAACTAAGACAACCACTGAAAAAGAATGTGGAAAATATAGAAAAAAGAACAGTCAGTTCTCTTCACTCACAGTGTTAGAATTTTGGTAATTTGTTTCCTTCCAGTCTTGTTTCTGAAGTCTAGAGCATTTGCTTTTTAAAATTCATAGTCATGTTTATAATTTTATATGCATCCCTGTTCACTTAACTGTAAACGTGTTTCATACTTATACAATATCCCATTAAATGGATACCATCCTTAAGGAGATACATTTCATTTTTATTCTATTATGAATATTGTGGCATTGGACTTGTTTATTCGTAGACTTTTTTTGTATATATAACTCTCTTTAGAGTGGGTTCCCAGAATTGTAATTTCTGTTTCAAAGGCTATAAATACTTTTGAGAATCTTGGTACATATTTTCAAATTCTTTTCCAAATGATTTGTGTTAATTTAGACTTCTATCAGAGATATATAGGAGTGGTGCCCACATCACCATGTCCTATCCAATACTGGGTATTTTCTTTTTAAAGAAATACTAAATTGAAATGCAAAAAAGGTATTAATTGTTTTTGGTTCTATTATTATTTCCTCTTTTCTTATTACGAGGCTGTACTTTTTTTCCATATGTTGATCAACCAGTTTATATATATTTCCTCTTTTATTAACTGTTAGGTTCTTCTAATGATTTATATGAGCTCTTTAGATAGTTTACTTTTTATTGTATTGCTTATACATTTTCTTCTCGGTTTGTCAAAACTTAGTCCAAATTAAAAGACATACAGAAATAATAAATTTGTTTGATGGTGTAATCTCAATGTTGGTGCACCATCTCCTTCTTGTCCAGTTCCTCTGCTCACATAACCATTCCCTGGGCAAAAAATGTTCTTTTTTTCTTTTTTATTCTGAAACTCTCTCCCTTCCTGCAGGGAGCTTGAAATCCTGTCTTCCCCATGAAGAGTATCTTAAGTAAAAATAAGGCACAGATGGCCTGTCTGTTCCATGAAGAAAGCCATTAGCAATCTTAACACACCTTGCTGTGGAAAAAAAAAGTATGCATTTTGCTAATATTGTTTGCTACTAATTTTTCCATGTGTGTAAATAAATCTTATATATTCTACTTTTTTAAAACAATTTTTTTTTCAAACATAGTTTTTTAGAAAATAAGGAAAGTCACTCCATGTGGCATCTCCGGCAAGAACATACACTAGAGTGTTCAGAGATGAGTTCCCCTGTTAGTACTTCCCCTATTAGTATTAGTACTGCTCATTTATTAGATAGTATTTATCACGTACCAGCTCCTGATTTGGCACTGCTGTGGCTCACGAATTCTATTTTGGGACCTGAGGAGATGTCAGTTCACAAGACAGCTTATAGCTGTACCTTTTGTTTTTTGTTTGTTTTAATTATTTGATATTAAACAAGCTGGAGGCTCATAAAATGATACTGTAATATGCATGTAAACTGAATCAGGCAGTAATACCTTTTACATGTTTCTGTTTCTAGACAGTGGAAAGTCTAAAAGAAGTACAGTGAATTCAAAGGTAAGAATTAACTACCCACTTGTGCCTAGCTTTTCTGAGTATGTGTGTGTGTGTGTTGTACATGTGTGTTTACGTATTAATGTGTGTGTGTGAGCGCATGTGCATGTACATACACATACATGCCTAGTCTACAGGGGGTTGCCTTCTACTTGGAAAGATAAGGTTGACAACATTGGAACAATTTCAGAGTAAAATTGAATGCTAAGTTGTGCAGCACTTATGTGATAGACGGTCAGATAGTGAGGGGGGAGAGAAGCTGAGCCTTCTCAAGAGCCTTCTGGAAGGAGGTGTCACCAAGGGTGAGCTTGGAGTTTGGGGGATTTGTTTGTGGAAGAGGAAGAGAAGAAAGGGGATGAAGAATGTCATAGGCAAAGACCGGAAGGTGGGAATGAGCATAACAAGTGCTGGGCACTGGCCTATTTGAAGTAAAAGGTACATATTTGGAAGCAGAGAGAGAGAGAGAGAAATGTTAGATAATGTAGGGCCAGATAATAGAGTGTCTCAACAACAACAATAGTGTAGGCAATAGGAAGTTATTGTGAATTCTTGACCAGGAAAGAATGTGATGCAAATGGTGTTTAGTGAAGATCATCATTCTGAAGGTAATATTCAGGGTAGCCTTGGAGAGGGAGAGAGTGAAATTAGAGAGACCAGTAAGGACACTGTTGTGATAATACAGGTTTAGGTGACGAGGATCTGGATTAGAGTATATAAAATAAGGAATCAGCCTGGCAGACCAGTTATGGGGGTGGAGGAGTTAGAGAAGAGGTAGAGTTTTTTTGCAAAGGGGTAGGTGATAGAAATACCACAAGAGGAATATTTGGGAAGGTTTTGGTTTGGGATATTTTAGATTTTCCAGTGAGGGGGCACCCAAATAGCAATGTTCGTTTTGTTTTGTTTTTTAAACCACTATTGAGGTATAATTGACATATAATAAACTGCATATATTTAAAGTATACAATTTGATAAGTTTTGACATATGTACAGATAGCCCCCAACTTATAACTGGGTTCCATTCCGATGACTCCATCATAAATTGGTTCTGTCATAAGTCGAATACCTCATTTTTTTAAAGTTTTCATTGTTGTTGCCTTTTATTACCAGTATCTTTATAAATGCAATCTTTATTTGTCTTTGGGGGTTGGAAACATTACAGCTAAACTTACAGATATGATGACATCAGCAAATTACATGCTGCAACACTGTATGTAGTACATATTACTAGCGATAAGATGTATCCAAAAAAACTCAAAAACCGGATGGTTGTAAGTGCAGTTCGTCATGGCTTGAATATGTCATAAGTCAGTGGACTACCTGTATCAGTTTGTCATAACTTGAATATGTCACAAGTTGGTGGGCTACCTGTATATATATACACCTATGAAACCATCACTACAATCAAGATAGTGAACATATCCATCACCCCTAAAAATTTCTCCTGCCCGTTTGTGGTCCCCGTCCCCAAAGAACCACTGATCGGTCACTATAGATTAGTTTGCATTTTATAAAATTTTATATGAATGAGTTATATATGTACTCTTTTGTCTTGTTTCACTCAGCATAATTATTCTGAGTTTTGTACATATTATTGCATGTATCAATAGTTCATTCCTTTTCGTTGCTTAGTATTTTGTTGTATAAATGATAGTGTTTTGATCATTTGCAAATTAAGAATGGAGTTAATGTGTCACATCAGAGTGTGATCAGGGTCAGCATCCTTAGTTTATAAGTACTAGCTGAAGCTTTTAGTGTAGATAAGCACCCCGGCAAGAAGACTGGGTGAGAAAGCGGGGCAGAGAGGCAGAGTGACTGCTTAGAAAAGGAAATAGGTGGAAGAAGAAGTACCTTTCTGTGTGAAAAGTGATTTCAGACATCTTGGCAAGGATGGTAAATTTTATTTTCAGAGTTTTGAAGTCAGGAAATTTAGGGTACAGTAAGAAGCTGGGTTTTTAAATTTTATTTTGATTTTAATTAGCATACTTTATCTGCCACTATCACCCTAAAACAGGTTGTTATGTCTTTTTAGCCAATGGGAGAGAAATCCTTTTCTGTTCACAATAATGATGGGGCAGTTTCATTTCAGGTATGTATTGTCTTATTAATGCTTCATAGAGTTTACCTCTACCATGGAAAAGAGTGAATTTTGTAATGAATTTTGAACTTAGGAATAATAATTTAGGCATGCTATTTGGCAAGTCATTTGACACAGAGCTCTCTAACAAACCTACAAGGTGGATATTATTACCCCCAGTATCAAATCATAAGTCCCTGAGAGTGAATAACTTCATGACTGTCCAATGTAAGTGACAAGGCCCAGATTCCAACCCATTTTTGCCTGGCTGTTTCTGCAAATCCTCTGCCTCTCTAACAGCATGCTGCAGCAACTCAGAGTGCACCGTTACAGGTAGAAGCATGGAATTCTATACCTGAAAGGGCCATTGATGATCATTTAAGGTGAAGTCATAATTCTAGAGATAAGTTAATTGAGACTCAGACCTTTAGTGACCTGCCCAGCCTTCCCAGTTATCAATCGCATAGTGAGTGTTTTATGTTGGTGTCCCAGCATATGTAGGGGAATTGGTTGTTGGACTGGGTCTCAGAACCCACTTACTAGCTAGGTGACCTTGGACAACTCACTTAACTTTTGAATCTCACTGTTTAATCATCTAAAATTGAAAAATGATGACATATATCTCATAGGATTATTATGAGTTTTATTTTCATGTGTGTGAAAGTGCTTTGTAAAGCATTGTACAAATGCTTTACTATTAATTTGTAAGAATTGCTGCCTCTTTTCTAATCAGTTTTCATTAACTAAAGTATAATTTGCTTATGTTGAAACACACTAATCTGTACAGTTCAATCAGTTTTGACAAATGCATGCACCCATGTAAACCGCTCTGTCAAGAAAGAATATTTTTATCACCTCAGAAAGTCCCCTTCTCTGCAACCATGGTTCTGATTTTTTCACCGTAGATTGTTTTGCATGTCTGACAGTTTTGATATGTTCATTAAGTTTAGTAACCATCATTTTCATCACCATCAGTAATTACTAGCTAACATTTATTGAGTGCTTGCAGGGTGCTGATCTGCTCAAAATCCCATCAACAGCTTCCCATTTGTCTCAGAGTAAAAGCTAAAGTCCTTCCAGTGGTCTGCAAGGCCTCATGTCGTCTGGCTCCTGTTACCCGTCTGACCTCATCTCCTATTATTCTCCTCCTTGCTCCCCCCCCCCCACCCCGCCCCAGCCACACAGGCGGCCTTGCTGTTCCTCGATAAGATCAGCTCTACTCTAGCCATACCCTCTGACAAGAATGTTCTAAGCTCAGAATCTACATGACTAATTTCTTACCTCCTTCAAGTCTTTGTCACCTTCCTAGTGAAGCTTCCCCAATGCCCCTATTTTAAACACAGCCTGTCCCATACCCCCTCACCCCACTGTTTTTATCCTATCCCTAGAAGTACCCATCCCTTCTAATGTGCTGTATAATGAACTTCTTATTATGTTTATCATCTGTCTCCCACCTAAAAGATTACCATAAGGGCAGGAATTTTTATCTGTTTTATTACTGATGTATATGAACTAACCTCCTAAACTTGGGTCCAGCCGATAATAGTCCCTCGATCAATAATTATGGAGATGGATGAATACATGCCAGGCATTGCATTAAGTACTTGTATATGCATTAGATCAGTTCATCCTGCCAGCAACTCTATGAAGTAGGCGCTGTTATTATTCCCCTTTTACAGATAAGGAAATTGAGGCTCAGAGAGGTTAAGTAATTTGCATAAGGGGAGGATTCAAACCCAGGTTTGTCTGACTTGAAGGCCCATGTGTTTAACCAGTTTGCTTTACTACCTCCTTGAAAAAATAGAAAAGGTACTCTTTTCTTCCTTCCCTTACTTTAAAATGCTTGTTAATGAAGTATATTTTTTTGAGTGATTTTTTTAGCCTTTTTTTTTTTTTTTTAATCACAAGAGGAAAGGCTGTAAATATTTGGCATTTACTAATGCTTTGTATTAGGGTGAGTGTTGAAGAGAAAGCAGCATAGTTGATGATTAAGAACATTGGCTGAAATAACAAGTTCATAGAGTTCTTGTGATGCATAAAGTAGGCAGAGTGGGTGGGCAGTTTGCTTTTTCTCTGGCTTTGCTCTGTCCTTGTAAGGAAGTCAGTAGGTGACTCCTTGTTCTCCCAGTTTTGGATAGTGCATTCAGTCTGTGCTTCACTGCTTCATCCAGGGAATAGGGATGATAGTTTATCTGCCAAAGTGCAGGCAGGGCATTGTGAGGCCTTATTCCAATTCTAAAATTTGTACTTTAGTTTTTTGTTTTTTTCTTTAAGGGTCAGGTGCCTACTCTAATCAACCATGGTGATTCTATTGATTTTTTAATCTTTCTTAGAAACATCATATGAGTCTTGCTTTTGAAAATAAAATTATCAATATGTTTAGAAAAGTTTTCTTTTTCTCTACCCTGAGTAGGCTAAAATGCATAGTCTGTTTAGTGTGTATTTAGAATGATGAGTTTGAGACATGGTTTAACAAATAATTTCAGCTTTATTGTTCTTGGTCTTTTATTTCTTTCTTGTGAGATGACTCTTCTTTCCCATTTTTTAAAAAATTGTGAGGTATAGTATACAGAGAAGTGTGTAATATTTATGTTGAGCTCTTTAAATAACTATAAATAATCACCTGTGTAGCCATCGCCTGGAACAAGAAATAGAACAGTGCTAGCACCCCAGAAGCCCCATGTGTCCCTCACATCCTTTCCCAGCTCTAGAGGTAACTCCTACATGAAAATTTTATAGTAATTTCTTCTCTTTATAATTTTGCCATCTACTTATACAGTCCTAAACAAGATATTTTAGGCAGATTTCTTTTTATTGCTAGGACTTTTCTAGGCTTTCACTGCTTATAGTAAAATGTTGATAAAATTGACCTAGGAGTCACGTCCTGTGAGTGTGTGTGAGAGAGACTGTGTGTGTGTGGTCGAGTTATATTAAAATTTATTTGAAACACATGAAATATATTAAAACTAGAAAAATATCTAAATGTAGAAAATGTAGCCTCTGTTTTTATTGTCTAAAATCATAGGTGGAAATTTTAATTCGGGAATATTGGTCCTTTACCTATTCACGTTATTGGTGATCCTTCTTTCTTTTTAAAAACTTAAAGGGCAAAATAATATGTTGGATTGAAAACTAGATAACTGTATCATAGATTATCTCTGCAGACGTAAAAACCATCATAGATGGACAGATATATATGACAAAGCAAGTATAGTAAAATTGTAGACTCTAGGTAGTGAGTGTACAGGTGTTCACTGTACAGTTCTTTCAGCTTTTCTGAATGCTTGAAAATTATCATAACAGAATGTTGGGGGGAATCATAGAATAAAAAAAATCTGTTTAAACTCTCTGGAAGGATTTGATTAATTCAAGTAGTCTGTCTTCTTCTGTCCATAATAGTCATGATTTATTTCTAAGATTTAAAAATCTAGGTAAAGATTTGGGTACCTTTAAATTTTTTTCTTTGTCACTTTCAGTTTTTCTTTAACATCAGCACCGATGACCAAGAAGGCCTCTACAGTCTTTACTTTCATAAATGCCGTGGAAATGAAACGCAGTCTAGTGACAAGGTTTCATTCAGCCTTGATGTGAGTACCATATGGAGATTGTTCATGTAGGGTGGTCTGAGGATTTGTCAGCAGTGTGATATGCAAGACGTTTATTTCTACGTAAGCATAGATTTTAAGAACACTTAAGGAGAGTAAGAGAAAAAATGTGGCCACACTAAAATCCCTGCCAGTAGGGTATTTAGCAGAGGATTCATAAATAAGAAAATATAAAGCAATTTAGAATATATTTGCACTTTAACCTAGGCATTAAAATGTGGTTGTGATAATGCTGGTACTCACTTTCTTAAGTGTAAGTAAAACAGCTGAGATTCCAAATTGCTGAATAAGGGGATGATCCACTCCTGAAAAGTAAAAGTTAATTCCATGTTGATTTCAGATTGAGATTACAGAGAAGAATCCTGACAGTTACCTCTCAGCAGGAGAAATTCCTCTCCCCAAATTATACATTTCGATGGCCTTTTTCTTCTTCCTTTCTGGGACCATCTGGATTCACATTCTTCGAAAACGACGGTAAATTATTACTTCCTTGAGACCTTCAAATCAAAGTGTCTTGAGATTTGTATATTTTCACCTTTTGCTGGCTTCTGAACTTTGCATAAATTGGCACCAGTAGTCTTGTTCTCTTCAAAGGGCGTCTTCCTGAAACACTAGAGGGACTGTACAGGAGTCTTGCAGTGTGGGAGGCCTTTGCATTCCTTGGTGTTTGTTCACTTGCCATTGCTCTGTTTAAAAAGTAAACCTAGATATTTCAGTAATATACAAGCAAAATAAAACGTATAAGCAAAATGTTTCTATAGCAGAGAGACCACAGTCCAAGACTCAGAGTGAGAATGTTGGTCCCATTCAGTGACTGGTTATTCTAAAGAGATAAATGAAGACGACCCACTGCCTGGATAAGAGGATAGAGATATTGTTTAGTGACTGAAGGCATCAGCTCAGAGCTGGCTGGAAGAGTCTCTTTATTGACCTCCAGATGCTTGCTGCTGGAGGAAACTTCTTCAAAGCCCATCTGCCTGGCTTTTGGCCAGCCTTCTGAAACCCCTGAGGCTTTAACTTCCTCTGCATGGTTCTTGCGGGGAGCAGCTGCATGCACATGGAACTAGTGTTTAATTCTCTGTCTGCCTCCCAAGAAAACTGAGAAGAAGATATTAGTTTTCAGTTAGAGAATAGTATAAAATACGTATTATATTTTAAGGCTGTAAGCTGGGTAGGTGATGGTATTTGAATATGGTTTTATAATATGGATTAATAAAATAATTCAGTACCCCCAAACACCAAATACCTCTGTCTCTGAAACATTAGGGCAGAAATTGAGACCTCTTTAATCCCTAGTGGCCTGATCATCTTCTATTAGAAATGCTCAGAGCCCAGAGCATCTGGTTGGATGCAGTTGCTGATTCTTATTTGATGTAATATCCTTTATACCTACCAGATGTAAAAAGCGCTTCTTATTTACTTGTGAAGGACCTACATAATCATGTTTTGGACGAGATTATTAGGCAGCCATTACTAAGAGAAAAAGAATCCTACAAATTCAGACCGTAAAATTTTTTTTTTTTTTTCTTTTTAAGAAAGGTTGCTTTTGCCATTATTAGAGGAGTAGGAACTAGGAGGCAGAAGACCTGATTTCAAGTGTGAACTTTGACTCTAGTATCTGTGTACTTTCTTCACTCTAAGCCTCTTTTTTCTTGGCTACCAAACTGGGACAGTAATAATGGCTCTGCCTTCCTCTTAGAGGAAGTCAAGATCCTTAGACTTGTTATGTAATCCCCAAAAGATAATGTATATGAGGGTGCTTTGAAAATTAGGGTGCTATGTAAATATGAGATATGTATAAAATATTTTGTTAACTAGGTGTTTAAATTCCCTTTTATTTAGTGACCTAATAATCATTGCCATTGGTTCATTTATAATAAAATTGTGATGACACTTTTAAAGCTGAGGCTGAATGAGACTGGCCTATTTTGTACAAGCTATGGTTTTAACTTTCTGTTGAAGAATAGTATATATACAGAAATACTAAATATTTTTAAGCCCTCTGCCCTATCCCCATGTTTTCCCAGGAGTCTTATAGCTAGTTCCATTAGTTGGAGATTTGAATAATGTAAGGGTGTATGACTCCAACTTGGACAGGTTCATTTGATGCTCACAGCCCCTTAGAGCCAAAAGGAGCTGAGAGATCTTCTCAGTTACTACATTTTACAGGTGATTATATTGAGGCCCAGAGAGGGGAAGTGAGAGACATGAGAGAGCTGGGCCTGGAACCCAGATATGCTTTTTGTGCATGTCTGGCTCATCTCAATTCTCTGAGCTGTGTGTTGGGCCCAGAGTTTAGAGAGGGAAGTGGTAAGGGAAAACTGGCAGCTCGTATTTTTTGAGTACCTGCTTTGTGCCCTGTTAGGCACTTGATGTTGGTTAGTTCAGTTAATTTTCCATCAGCTTTTGAGTTAATCTTCTAGCAACTCCATTCTCAGGAGAAGTTACTGAGGCTTAGAGAAATTAAGTTTGTAAGGGTAGGACCAGTGTTTGAGCCAGATAGGTCTGGCTGTGACCCTCTATTTTTTCGGTCACATCACAGCCCTAGCTGTCAGTGTTTTAACTTTGGACTTCAAGGCATGGTTGCCAGCGGTGAGTGAACACAGCTCTTTACACTGAGCAGTTTTACACTATGGGTAATTCTCATTGTCATTTAGTAGTGATAGACTACTCTGGCTTTGACTTTCTTTTTGACCTTGGAATAGGTGTGCATTGGAATGGGAAAGTACCAGGGAAGAAAATCAGCCCGGTTGTGCTTGAACCTCAAATATGTCCGTTCACGTACACTCTCAGCATCATTCTGTGCAAGGCCTAACTCCTTTTTTTTTAAATTAGTATACTTTATTTTTTTTGGAGCGGTTTTGGGTTTACAAACAGCAGAAAGTTCAGAGAATTTCCAAATACCTGCTGTATTTATGTCTGGGTAGTGTTAGCCCTCCACTTATTAAGTATTGCATTGGCTATCTGAGTCTTTTGTCTTTCCTTATAAACTTTAGAAGCAGTTTGTCAATAACCACAAAGTAACCAGCTGGGATTTTGATTGGGATTGCATTGAATCTATAGATCAAGTTCAGAAGAACTGACATCTTAACAATATTGAGTCTTCTTGTCCATGAACATGGAATATCTCTCCATTTATTTAGATCTTCTTTGAGTTCTTTCTTCAAAGTTTTGTAGTTTTCCTTATATAGATTTTGTACATATTTTGTTAACTTTATACTTAAGTATTTAAATTTTCTGGTGATAATGTAAATGGTGTTGTGTTTTTCATTTCAAATTCCAGTTGTCCATTGTTGATATATAGGAAGGCAATCGACTTTTGTATATTAACCTTATTTCCTGCAACCTTACTGTAATCACTTATTAGTTCCAGGAATTATTTTGTCAGTTCTTTGGGATTTTCTACATAGACAACCATGTCATCTGTGAATAGTTTTATTTCTTCCTTCCCAGTCTATACTTTTAATTTCCTTTTCTTGCCTTATCGTATTAGATGGGACTTCCAGTACGATGTCAAATAGGAGTTATGAGAGGGGCCATCCTTGCCTTGTTCCCAATCTTAGGGAGAAAGCATCTAGTTTCTTACCATTAAGTATGATATTAGCTGTAAGTTTTTTATAGATTTTTTTGTCAAGTTGAGGAAGTTCCCCTCTGTTTCTATTTTGCTGGGTTTTGTCATGAAAGATGTTGGATTTTATCAAATACATTTCCTGCATCTATTGATATGATTATTTGATTTTTTTTTTTCAGCTTGTTAATGGGTTTCTCCTCTTAGGACTGCCTATTCATATTCTTTGTGTATTTTTCTGTTGGGTTTTCTGTCTTTTTCGTGTTGCTTTGCATGGTTTCTTGTTCTGGATATCAACCCCTTGTCTGTTTTAGACATTGCAGATTTGTTCTCCTAACCTGTTAAATTTGTCTGTGGTGTTCATTATTGAATGACAGTTTTTTAATGGAGTCAGATCTGCCTAATTTTAGTCTTTTGAATAATTAGTACCTTTTGGATCTTAAGCCCTTTTCCTACTCCAAAATCACAAACGTTTGTTTTACGTTTAGATCTTGAATCCATCTGGAGTTCTCCTTTATGTACCTGCGAGTAGAGATCCACCTTATTTACTTATTTGTTTTTATATATAGGTTTGAGCTAGTTTTTCCCAGTGCTGACTATTAAACAATAGATGACCCAGTGGATGGTGTCACTTTTATCATATATCAAGCTTCTATGAATCTATTCCTGAACTCTCTCGTCTATTCCATTTGTCTTTTGTCTGATGCTGCCGCTGTTCCACATTTTTTACTCCTGTTTCTTTGCAGAATGCCTTAGTATCTGAGAGTGAGAGTTCCTTTGTGGTTTTAAGTGTTCATTTATGTGCTTTAATAGAGTTTAAAAGTTTTCTCCGTAATGGTCCTATATGTCTTCTATTAGATTATTCCTAGAAGGAGGTGAGAGAGAGCAAAGGAATTTGATGCCTGAAAGCCCAAAAGGTAGACTAGTACCTGTGTTATACCTCCCTGTTGAGGTGTGGAGGTGGGAAAGGGTACTCTACCCTACTGGCCTGGTATGTTTTACAGGTACCCGTCATAAGGAGGGGAGAAGGAGGCACAATCTCATTACTTTTCCCCAGCCCATCCCTGATGCCTGGGTTCCAGCCTTCTGCTCTGGGCTGCAGATTTCCCCCTGTAGCTGTACTAATTGCCTTTGCTTTCCCAGGGATTTCATGCCATTGTCTCACATCCATTCACCTCATTTTTGCCTCTGTGGCCTGTCCAGGATGATTTCTGGGGAAGAAGCCAGCAGCCTGTGTTAGATTTCCATCTTGTCAGGACTTGGAACCCATAATGTCTAGCGTGCATAACTCGGTTTCATTCACAACAGTAAATTATATATTAGAGATGACTTTAGGGCTCTAGTTCTGCCTACAGAAACTACTTTTTTTTTTTTTTAATTTTTTCCTATACAAAAAGTTTATACATACATTGTTATGTGACCCTAATTGCTCTCCCCATACTGTGACAGCATACTCCTCCTTTCCACCCCTGATTCCCCATGTCCATTCAACCAGCTCCTAACACTCTCTTCCTTCCCATCTCACTTCTGGACAGAAGCTGCCTGTTTAGTCTCTTCTATCTACTTGAGCTAAGAGGCACACTCCTCATGAGTATCACTTTACGTCCCACAGTCCAGTCCAATCCCTGTCTGAAGAGTTGGCCTCGGAAATTGTTTTAGTTCTGGGCCGATAGAGAATCCAGGGGCCGTGCTTTCCGGGGTTCCTCCAGTCTCAGTCAGACCATTAAGTCTGGTCTTCTTACTGGAATTTGAGTTCTGCACCCCACCTTTCTCCTGCTCCATCAGGGACTCTCTGTTGTGTTCCCAGTCAGGGCAGTCATTGGTGGTAGCCAGGCACAATCTAGTTCTTCTGGTCTCAGGCTGATGAAGTCTCTGGTTTATGTGGCCCTTTCTGTCTCTTGGGCTACTACTTTTCCTTGCGACTTAGGTGTTCTTCATTCTCCTTTACTCCAGGTGGTTGGGACCAATTGATGCATCTTAGATGGCCACTTGCAAGCTTTTAAGACCCCCAGATGCCACTCACCAAAGTAGGATGCAGAACATTTTCTTAATAAACTTTGTTATGCCAGTTAACCTAGATGTCCCCTGAAAGCATGGTCCCCAGACCCCCACCCCTGCTACTCTGTCCCTCAAAGTATTTGATTGTATTCAAGAAACTTCTGAGCTTTGGTTTAGTCCAGTTGTGCTAACCTCCCCTGTAGTGTGTGCTGTCCTTCCCTTCACCTAAGATAATTCTTATCTACTATCTAGTTAGTAAATAACCCTCACCCTCCCTCCCCACCCTCATAACCATCAAAGAATGTTTTCTTTTGTGTTTAAACCTTTTCTTGAGTTCTTATAATAGTGGTCTTATGCAATATTTGCACTTCTGTGATTGACTAAATTCACTCAGCATAATGACCTGTAGCTTCCTCCATGTTATAAGATGTTTCACAGCGTCGTCGTCGTTCTTTATCGTTGCGTAGTATTCTGTTGTGTGGATATACCATAATTTGTTAATCCATTCGTCCTTTGATGGGTACCTCGGTTGATTCCATCTTTTTGCTATTGTGAACAGTGCTGCAATGAACATGGGTGTGCAAATATCTATTCGTGTGATGGCTTTTATTTCTCTAGGATATATTCCAAGGAGCGGGCGAGCTGGATCGTGTGGTACTTCTATTTCTAGCTTTTTAAGGAAGTGCCAAATTGATTTCCAAAGTGGTTGTACCATTTTACATTCCCACCAACAGTATATAAGTATTCCAGTCTCTCCACAACCTCTACAGCATTTATTATTTTGTGTTTTGTGGATTAATGCTAGCCTTGTTGGGGTGAGATGATATCTCATTGTAGTTTTGATCTGCATTTCTCTAATGGCTAATGATCGTGAGCATTTCTTTATGTGTCTCTTTGGCCACCTGAATGTCTTGTTTGGCAAAGTGCATGTTCATATCCTCAGAAACTACTTTTTAAAAAAACTTCCTGTTTGTGGTTTGCTTACATTTTGTTTACTGCCTCTTTTTAAATAGATCCACTACATGAAGCTTCTGCTGTCCTTTGAGACATGGAATATTCCTTTAAATCTTTTCTCTCTGTTTTTGTAGGAATGATGTATTTAAAATTCACTGGTTGATGGCGGCCCTTCCTTTCACCAAGTCTCTTTCGTTGGTATTCCATGCAGTATGTATCAACATTTTTTGAGGGGGGTCATTTATGAAATGGTGTATAATGCCCATGTGAGCAGAAAGAGTAGATTAGGGAAAGTGGATAGATTGGTGGGAAACAAAAGATAAAAGAATACTCATGAAGCCTTCTTTTGTCTGGAAGAGGGGGACTGCTCGTAGGGGGCAAGTGATCCCGACATCTGTCAGCGCTAGATGTAAGACATCTTCTGATATTACCTTAGAAACGCAGAATTTTCCTAGGTCATGTGTTTTGAGATTAGAGTGCCACCTGCTGAATTGTTTCCACTACTTTTATTTTTTCAAATATTCCCTCACATTCCCATTTAATTTGAAGTTCAATGTTATTATACTTATTTGAGAGCAAACTGATGCTTTAGAGATTGAGGCGTAAGAATTGAGCTTAAGTTTTGAATGTATAGAACTGATACAAATTGAAATGAACTTGCTTATGGGGGTAAGATCACAGCTTCCCCAATTTGTGGGCCTACCTGGTCCCCATGGACCACACTTGTGAGGGTGGCAATCTCTGGACATGCACTCTCTTACCTGCATTTAAAAATGCTGTCATAGGAAAAAGCAGTAATATACCCAGTTACAATTTCAAGAAATGAAAGTTTTTTGGATAATTTCCCATTTGGATCCAAGTTAAAAGATTTCTTTCTGGAACCATATAGCTAATGAATGAACGGGTCTTTGACTCACTTTTAGTATCTAGATAGTCATTTGTGATAGAATGAAAGATATGTAAAGAAATTGGTGTCACAATTTTGAGTTCTGCCAGGAAACATTTTGGCATAGCACTGAAACTTGCCACTTTAGTTAAAATGCTTTGGTGGCCTCAAATAGCTCTAAATTTACAGATATTTTTTTTTTAGTGGAAAAAAAAAGTTGAAGCTGATGATCCACATAGACTTTTTACTTACTGACTGACTGACTTATTTACTTACGTAAGCAGAAATGGTTGGATGATAAAGTTCTTGACTGGGATACTGAAAAGATTTGTGATTTGGGCCCTGGAGATTTTAAAGAAAAGAATAGCCAGCCATTTGCCAGAGTGAATTACTTGCCTCAAGTGAGGGACATGGGCTGGGTGTTAGTGACATTAAACCTTTTGTCAAGTCTGTCAAGCTACCTGATGTTTTGTTAGTGTACTCACATATATACTTCTTTGTGAATGGACATATGAGGTATTAGGGAGTGGGGCAGAGGGTGGACATCCTCTGTCATAGGATCCTCTGGTATGATTTACTGTTTCACTGTGTGCTAACCCATGTGGTAGACTGATCTTTCTGAAATGCAGTTGTTTGATTTCAGATCGACTATCACTACATCTCCTCCCAGGGCTTTCCGATTGAAGGTTGGGCCGTTGTGTACTATATCACTCACCTGTAAGTATACAAGATGACATGTGAAATATTCATGCCATGAAATGACATATGGGAAAAGGTGGAAAAACTACAATAAGGAAAGACAAAGTTGACTGGCTCCACCCTCTTCTGGTAGCCCATCTGGGTCCCTGTGATGTTCAAATTGTATGATATACAGATGGCTGTCCAGACTTGAGATCTTGGGATTGCTGGCATGCTCCTGGAAGTGGCTGCCTACCTGCCTGCCTGCCTGAAGTGGTTGGCTGCTTAGGTAGTGAGGTGCATAGCTAACTATTTGTGTGGCAGGAAAGAGTGTGTTGCTCACTTAAGATGAATTTCCTGAATTTGGCTGCTTATCTTTTGCAAGAAGCATGTGAAGTCCTAGAATAAGCTCTTATAATCTAACTTGAGTGAGAGCCTGAAGAGACCCGTTGTTATCTGTTAATTTTTTCTTTTCCAGTTTGAAGGGGGCACTTCTCTTCATCACCATTGCACTCATTGGCACTGGCTGGGCTTTCATTAAGCACATTCTTTCCGATAAAGACAAAAAGATCTTCATGATTGTCATCCCACTCCAGGTAAAGGAGCTCTAATCCTGCTTGTCCTAGTTCCTCTCTCTCTCTCTCTCTTTTTTTTTTAATTGTGCTTTAAGTGAAAGTTTACAGTGAGGTCAGTTTCTCATATAAAAATTTATACACACATTATGTGATCATAGTTGCTCTCCCCGCAATGTGACAGCATACTCTTCCTTTCCATGTCAGATTTCCTGTGTCCATTCAACCAGCTCCTGTCCCTTTCTGGCTTCTCATCTCTCCTCTGGACAGGAGCTGCTCATTTAGTCTCACCTATCTACTTGATCTAAGAAGCACACTCCTCATGAGTATCATTTTATGTCTTACAGTCCAGTCTAATCTTTGTCTGAAGAGTTGGCTTCAGGAATGGTTTTAGTTCTGGGATAACAGAGAGTCTGGGTGCCATGTCTTCTGGGGCCCCTCCAGTCTCATTCAGACCATTAAGTCTGATCTTTTTACTAGAATTTGGGTTCTGCACCCTACTTTTCTCCTGCTCTGTCGGGGACTCTCTGTTGTGTTCCCTGTCAGGGTAGTCATTGATGGTAGCCGGGCACCATCTAGTTCTTCTGGTCTCTGGGTGATGGAGTCTCTGGTTTATGTGACTCTGGTTCCTCTCTAGACACTCAAAGGGCTCAACTCCAGGCCTCTGGGAAGAGGGAGTCAGTTCACTAACTCCAGAAACCTAGCTTCTGCCATTTGGGATTGAGGACTCTAGAATTCTGTGTGAATAAAAATCAAATCCACGTTTACCACTTCTTTTCTGACCCCAGCTGCCCATGCAGCAATTCTTCCTCTGATCCCAGCTACCCAGAGCTAGGTCAGATCTCACAAGTTAAAGGACACAGTCCTCCAGACTGACACATAGACCCAAAACTTCAAACACCAGTCGCAAGGTTAAGAGGCCCCACAACACCCACACTTCTGACCTGTTGGCTACAAATTTAGGGTCTTCCCACTACCCCTTCAGGATGCGAGCCTCAAGCTTGGAGGCCCTCTCACTTCTGACCTGCTGGTTACAAATTTGGAGGTTCCCTCTACACCCTCTGAATACCAGCAGTAAGCTCAGGGGTTCTCAGCCCCCCTCACTCTGACCTGCTGGCTGTCACTACTCACTTGGGCTCAGTAATTTGCTAGAATGACTCACAGAACTCATGAAAAATGCAATACTTACAATTACATTTTTATTATAGGAAAAAGGGGTACAAATGAAGAGACACGTAGGATAGGGCAAGGTCTAGGAAGATTCCCAACATGAAGCTTCTTTGTCCCCAAGAGAGTGTGTCACCATCCCAAGAGCAGATGTCTTTTGCCACCCAGGAAGCTCATAAAGATTCAGTGTCCAGAGCTTTTATTGGGGTCTCATTAGTAATACAGACTCCAGCCCCTCTCCTCTGAGGTTGGTTGGTATCACGAGGTGACACAGTAGATCCTTCTCACCTGGCCAGCCCCTACCCCAGAGTCACCTCATCACTCATTGGCATTACCTGTTAGTTAGGTGTGGTCTGGAGATCTTACCGAAAACGCTTAAATTCCAAGGTTTTTTTTTTTTTTTTTTTTTTTTTTAAAAAGAGGTTACGTCTCAGGAACTGAGGACAAAGACCAAATTCTGTGGATAAAGTTAATATAAACCCCACACTAACAATACCTAGACTTTAGTCATTGCACTGGGCAATGCTTGACCCTCAGTCTTCTTTAAACCAGCATGTGGAAGCCTCGACTTTGAATAGAGTCCTACTGAAAACTTAGGGAAATATTTCACCTTCTCTTCTGTGTCAGTTTTCCCTATAACAAAATGACACTCTGAGTGAAGCAACTTAGGTACATAGTGATTTTAATAACAAATTAGTTTAAAACTGCGAATGACACCAATGAGTTTTCACTAGGTAGAATATTGTAGTAGACATCGGGGCCAAACATTTACTAAACTCTTCTTGTCGCTTGGGGCCCTGGGCTGAGGCTAGCCTTCAAGGCTGTAAGCCCCCTGGGAGAGAAATTTTGTTTTGTCTTATTTTAATAGTCTTATTGGAGGCAGAACCTGAGCATTAAAAAATAAAACCAAAAAACAACTTGTAATAAACAGAGCGGTTCTAGTAGGGATACACAGCTACTGTCCTTTGCTGGACCAACCAACATCTGTTTGATAAAGTTGCTCTCATTAACTGATCTCACATTTTGGAGCACAGTGTAACTAGGCAAGTAGGAGAGGAAGGGGACAACTCCCGAGGCACCCAGATCAGTGCTAGTACTTGCTGGCAACATTAGCAGCAAGGCCACCCTCACATTCAGTAACAAGAACATGTATTAGTGCCAAAAGTATGGTACAGGCCAGTTGCTATAGGTTTTCAAGGAGATAGTAATCACCCCAAGTTAGAATGATCTGGAAGGACTTTATGGCTGAGATGGGCCTTTACTGGGTATTTGAGGAAAGGAGTATGTCAGAGGCAAAGGATTCCCAGCAGAAACATGTAATGTAATACTACTGTCTTTTGTATAAAAGATGCTGAGGAACTGTACAGTTTCTTCAGCCTGTCAGGGTCTCAGAGCTTATAAGTGATGAGACCTGGGTACTCTTCCCACTTTGCCATACTCCCTGCTTGTTTTCCTTTCCCTTTAGTAGGTGCTACCATCCAGTCTGTTTTGAATCTTTTTCCCTTTGGCATGAACCCTGGTGTAATGGACAGTCTTCCTAGCTTACCCCTTTTTTGCTGCCTCAAAAGATGAACACACAAGTTTATATAGCAGATCACTTTGAGGAAACAAGGACATTAAAAAAAATTAAATATAAGGAAGTTAGTACAGGCAGTCCCTGGGTTATGAACGTCTGACTTACTTACAACCCATAGTTATGAACCAACCCCCGTAAAGCCTATTATATTAAAAATTCAACGTATGTAAAATGGTTCATAATAACAAACGGGCACTACACTACTTTGTGATACACATCAGAACATTATTATTACTGTATTATTATGTTAAAGATGTTTTAGTGTATCTGGAAGTGTTTCCTCAATGTTTTTTATGCCTAGAAAGGTATACTGTATACTAGGACAAACATTTGACTAACTGAAGTTAGATAGCAACCATACCTAACTGTTCTGACTTATGTACAAATTCAATTAAAAACACTTAGGAATGGAACTTATTCATAATCTGGGGACTGCCTGTATTTAAATATAGAGACTAGTCTGGGAATACATTGAATGTCAGCCTTAAAAATTAAGACTGCTTCCTTTTGACCATGGGGAACTGCTGAAAGTTTGAGTAAGGAGTCAGTGATATACAAAATGTTGTTTCGAGAACACTATAGGCACGTCACTCAATACCAACACCTCTAGGAACATTTTGTTTCTCATGTAGAGTGTGAATTAAGGAAAGAATGGAATTAAGATGAGAATTAAGAGAATTACGAATTAAAGATGTAAAAGCCTTTGTTTTCCACGTTGTCTTTATACATAGAACCACAGATGCAGATGTTTAGGATAGACTGGGCTTCAGGAGGAACTTGGGGTAGGGAAGAACCTGGAAGCCAAGTGTCAGTGAAGAGACTTAGATTTCGAAATAATTTTTGCATCTTTATTAAGAGAAGTAATGGTTTCTGTGACAACTTACAAGTCCTATATCGAAAGAGAAACCACACTTAGAGACTACCCAAATGATAGCACAGTAGATTTCCCATTCTTTGCATAAGTGTGAGGAATTACCTTTATAAGTCAAGTGGAGTATTGGGACAGTGGACTTCTTATGGGTTATACATGTGGAATTAAAACCTCTGTATCCATGCCTAATGGAAATCTTCGAAAGAATGTCATGAATTGCAAATTTTCCTTATGCTCTAGTGGCATCGCAGTTTTTTATTATTGTCAGCAGAAAGACTACATAACATGCTAAACACACAAGGCAAAACCTTCAATTGGAAACAGAAGCAGTATGTAGACACAGATGAGCTTCAGTGGGAAGAGCTAAGCCATGTCCAGTGTAGGGAAGACTGGACTTGAGTTATTCCTGTAGGAGCAATGTGACTACTCAATCTCTGTGGTGTCATCTGCCGTTCTTGCTGCTCTGTTCTCTGGTACCACAGTCCCATTATTTGGAACTTAGAAGAATTATTTTCACTGAAAACCAGACGTACCTACAAAGGGATAATGGTCTTGAGGAGTATCGGCATCGTGGCTAAATAGGGAACGTAGTACTGCCTGCTTAGCACCTGAGTGACATCACTGAGGCCTGAGGTGCCTAAAAAGCAAAGTACAGTGTTCACTCCAAAACTTAGTGGCTTAAAACAGCAATAACCATTTATTCTCTCTCACAGTGTCTATGAGTCAAGAATATCCGGGAGTGGCTTTACTATGTACATCTGGCTTGGGATCTCATTAGGTTATAGTCAGACAATAGCTGGGGTCATCTTGAAGGCTTCTTCATTTGCATCTGTCTCCTGCCTTGGGAAGACTTGACTTGATCAGATGGGAAGTGATTTCTGAGACTTCTCTCTATCTCTACTGGTCTCCAGCGTGGCGGCTTCAGGGTGGCCAGACTTCTTATAAGAAGAAGCCACAGGGCTCTAAAGGTGTATGTCCAGGAGAGAGCCAGGCAGAAGCTGTATCCTTTTTATGACCTAGCTTTGGAAATTACATGGCATCACTTCCACCATATTCTTTTGGTCAGAGCAATCACATACCTGCCCGGGTCCAAGGGGAAGGCACAGAGAGACTCTGTTTCTTGATAGGAGAGTAGCAAAGTTCTGGAAAAATAAGTAGGGCCAGAAATAATGGTAGGCCCCGGTGTCCATACCCTGTTGGGGCTGCTGTTCCTGTTAATCCATCCGTGCTTTTGAGCCTCAGTGACTTCTCGTGTCCTACAGGTCCTGGCAAACGTGGCCTATATCATCATAGAGTCCACTGAGGAGGGGACAACTGAGTATGGCTTGTGGAAGGATTCTCTGTTTCTGGTTGACCTGCTGTGCTGTGGAGCCATCCTCTTCCCAGTGGTGTGGTGAGTAAACCGCATGGAGAGAGGTCATGTGCACTTGTCTGTCAAACCTAGCAGCTGAACTAGCCATTGCCAAATTGGTCCAAATCAGCCAGGGCATCTGTGTCTTTATCAATCTGCACTTGATTCTTTTTTTTTTTTTTTTTTTTTGTACTTCAGGTGAAAGTTTACAGAGCAAATTAGTTTCTCATTAAACAATTAATACACAAATTGTTTTGTGGCTTTGGTTACCAGCCCCATGATGTGCCAACACTCTCCCCTTCTCCACCCCAGTTTCCCCGTTTCCATTCATCCAGTTTTCCTGTCCCTTCCTGCCTTCTCGTCTTTGCTTTGTGGTGGTGTGCCCATTCAGTCTCATTTACATGATTGAACTACAAAAGCATGTTCCTCACGTGTGTTATCATTTGCCTTATAAACCTGTATAATCTGTGACTGAAGCGTGAACCTCGAGAGCAACTTCAGTACTGAATTAAAAGGGTGTCTGAGGACCATACTCTTCGGGTTTCTGTAGTCTCTTTCAGATCAGCAAGTCTAGTCTTTTATTTTCGAATTTGAATTTTGTTCTACATTTTTCTCCCGCTCTGTCTAGGACCCTCTATTGTGACCCCTGTCAGAGCAGTTGGTAGTGGTAGCTGGATACCATCTACTTGTTCTGGGCTCAGTCCGGTGAAGGCTGTGGTAGCTGTGGTACATTAGTCCTTTGGACTAATATTTCCCTTGTGTCTTCGATTTTCTTCATTCTCCTTTGTTTCAGCTGGGATGGGACCAGTAGATGTATCTTAGATGGCCGCTCACAGGCTTTTAAGACCTCAGACACTAATCACTACAGTTGGATGTGGGACTTTTTTTTATAAACTATGTTATGCCAGTTGAGGTAGATGTCCCCCAGGACCATGGTCCTCAGCTCTCAACCCAGTAATTTGGTACCTTAGGGAGTTTGGATGTGTCTGTGAAGCTTCTATGACTTTGCCTTGGTCAAGTTGTGCTGACTTCCCCAGTATTGTGTACTGTCTTACCCTTCACCAAAGTTACCACTTACCTACTATCTAATTAGTGTTTTTCCCTCCCCACCCCTCCCCTCCCTTGTAACCGTCAAAGATTATTTCTTTCTGTATGTAAACCTGGCCAACCTGGCACCATGGACTGGCATTTAGCACAGTTCTAGACAGTAGAGAAGAGTCTGGGAATGAGAATTCAGTGACAACATAAAATAACAGCATGGATTTTAGGGGTGGGGTGGGAGGGAGAAGCTTGAAGTTAGATGGAAAATGAAGAAGAATGTTAACATAAAACTAGTGATAGTTCATAGCACATAAACATTTCCGATATCTTCATAATAGTTTGCTCCATTCCTAGAAATGACAGCCTTTAGATGTATATACTGTACTTTGATTTGTGTAAAGAGATGTTAATGCCAAGTCAGTGGTGGATGAAGAAGAATATCCTCATTAAATCACATGCAAAAGGATGGAAATTTATGATTCAGTATACTGGAGGAAAGAAGGATAGCAAACATAAAATACTGCATCCTTAATGATCCAGTTCCATGGCTGTTGTAAGCAGTTAATTATTTTGGAATGATGTTTAAAAAAATAGATTGGCTGTATTTTTACGCAAGTAACACACGCCTTCTATGTGTGCTAATCTCGTCCTCCCCCCCCCCCGAAGGTATTTTTATAAGCGCTACTATGCCAATTTTTTTTACACGTTGCTATAAAAAAAATTAGCATAGCACACTTACAAAAATACCACCGGGAGGGAGAGGAAGGTGTGGTTGGCAAACATTGAAGATATGTATTATTTGCATAAAAAATACAGTTCCTGCCTTCTATTAGAAATGAGATTTTCCTTACTGCAATGCCCCATGCAATAAATTAATATTTTTTAGGAATTGGGGGTTTATCCGGTCGTTTAATTCTTTGATTATTTAGAACATGGTACCAGTGGAGCATAATCCAATTCCAGCTTATTAGATTTGCTCTTAACCCTAACTCCATCACATACCACACAAGTACATGTATCAGTTCAGCAGGCAGCTGCCAGCATACAAGAGTACAGCTGAGTCTTTTTAATCACCACCGCCTCCCCCGACCCCACCCAGGAATAAGTAATTCAGGCATCCGTAACATAGGATGACCAGTGTTGCTTCAGATAAGAAGGTATCTTATTATTAAGGAACAGAGCTTAGTACCCTACTGTCATATCTGCTACTATCAGAACAATAAAATGTAAGGAATACGGGGTATTGATAAGACCCAGAAGAGCTATAGAGCTACAGGTGGCAATTTCTTGCCACTTACTAATTATAACACTAATATGCAAATGTCAAATGGCAAGATTCTTTACAATAAATATCCTGAATGTTGATGTCAAATGAAAAAAATCATCATAAGTACTTGTCTTAGTCATCTCGTGCTGCTATAACAGAAACACCACAAGTGGATGGTTTTAATAAAGAGAAGTTTATTTCCTCAGTCAAAGTAGGCTAAAAGTCCAAATTCAAGGTGTCAGCTCCAAGGGAAGGCTCTCTCTCTCTCGGCCTTCTCATCAGTGTTCCCCCAGACTAAGACCTTCTCGGTGCAGGGACCCTGGTCCAAAGGACGCGCTCTGTTCCTGGCGTGGTCTGAGGTCCCCCTGTCTCACTGCTCACTTCTGTCTTTTATATCTCAAGAGATTGCCTCAGGACACAATCCAGTCTTGTAGATCAGGTCCTGCCTTA